TATAGGTATATATATTTGTATATATATATATATACCTCAAAGGATGAGTCTTGTCCTTGTGTTAATTTTCATGAGAACTTTATGGTCGTTTTTGATATCTATGGGTGTGACAAAAAATATTCTATCGTTAATTGAAAGTACCTGTGATTGAGCCCTGTTGTGTGTTGTTCTGTCCGTGATAGTTACGAAGCTATCTCTTATCGGCATTTTTCACTCCTGTTTCCTTCACTGAATTCTAACAATACGTTGTTTTCTGCATAGCACTGGTGGTAACTGTTTCACTGATTGATATGGGTACTCTTTGGTTCTATACTGGTCTCACCAATACCGCTTTTATCACTTTCATTGTACGATTCAACGGCGTCCGACGATGCTTTCTCAGCGCTTGATACATCATATAAATTACTCTCCACATTGTTCGAATCTGATATTTTGCGTTGAACTTGGGCAGTAATCTAGATGATGTGTCAGAGGCTGAAACAGCATCGTCGGACGCCGATGAATCTGGGAAGGAAAGTGATTAAATCGGTATTGGCGAGACCAGTATGGCACCAGAGCACTCACCCGAAGATACACAATCTCCGCCGCATGTATGACTGCAATTTATCTTACTACAGCATAGGGTATACACGGCAGCACAGGAAAAATTTATGAGGCTGTTATCATGTATTTAACCACAACTTTTTTTTGTTCGCACATCTTTCAATACAACAGCATAGAACAACCTCAGCTGAGTTGGCGAAGAGTGAAGCCAATGAGCTTGTTGTCACCATCAAGTACTTGGTTGCGGGTGGAGTTGCGGGGGCGGTGTCACGGACTGTTGTATCGCCGTTCGAGCGGGCCAAGATTCTCATCCAGGTAGGTTGGTCCTGAGTCCGATTTATGTCGTTATAATTATTTTTTTGGGAAGAAACAAGGGGAGCATCGGTACTGATTCTCTCAGGACATTCAAATTCGGTGACAATAGTATGGAAAGACGGATGTGACAGCTGCTCACGGACTTGCCACCGGTGGATTTTTCTATTGTATACGTCGTGCGCCAATCTTCACCTTTCTTACCGCCTGGTTTTTTATTTCCCTTTGTTTATCTCGAAAGGTGAGCGCAACGGGTAATGCGGGGGTGAGCGATACAATCAAGCGCATGTATCAGACTGATGGGTTTGCCGGGTTCTTCAAAGGGAATGGTATCAACATACTGCGAATGATCCCTTACACCGGTATACAGATCTCGGCATACGAGAGCTACAAAAGGGTGGGTTGTATTACATCGCACACCCATATTCTTAAAAATTGCAATTTTTACTTTTCATTCTGTACTTTCTGTAGCTACAGTTGTGCAAGCATCTGCACGGAAGCTCAGACCAGATTCAACTGCGCGAGCCCTTTATGGTGTCGTAATATCATATTTATGTCGCGAAGTGGGCTCTTGTCCATGTGTACATGACATCTGAATCGATTTAGTTTATTTCGAACGGTTGTCTTTTTAAATGGACTGAACTGGATGTTCCCCCGTATATATTGCCGTCCATTCCATCTCAACACGTAGCAGAACTCTTAAGTCATGGACTGAAATCGAACATATCGAACCCCTCACAGGTTTTCTCCTCCGACGAAGCTGAGCTCTCCTCACCGCTGCGACTGACCAGTGGCGCGCTCGCGGGCATGACCGCGGCTGTGCTCACTTATCCTTTAGACATCATACGCACACGCATGACGTTGTACTCCATTGCGGACACTTCGAGTGTTGTCAGTGGCACGGGGTTGGGTTCTGGCGGCGCTCTGGTGGCTCCTACAAGATATAACAGTGTGTACGACTGTGGCCAAAAAATCATGTACGAAAGTGGGGACTACGCCGGTCGGAGTGTTACAGGTTTGTGAAGAGACTGCCAATACTGTATTTAAGTTAAAAAATTATGTAGTGAGTACTGGAAGACTAGTTCTTTCAATATAGAAGTGTTGTACGTGGCGTATTCTGGAGCACTCGCTTGCTACACTCACGATTTAAACGCAGCTGGCTCACATTCTAATGTGCACAGCATCAACGTCACTGATGCAGATTTTACCTTATGTACTATCTAGCCCATTCCCGTGGGGCTGTTGGTTCTGTCAGGGGTCATTCGTATATATTTATCTATATTTATGCTTCTTTTGAGGTGACACTGGACACGGCAGAATATAAGAATTATTGCACACATTGACTGAAACTCTTGCCTGCCGCGCATCCGCACTCACAGAACTGAAAAGAAACGGCCAGAAAGGCAGCCCCGCCATGCTGTTTCGAGGCCTGACTCCCTCCATGCTAGGGGTGATGCCGTATGTGGCGCTAAATTTCGCATTGTACGAGGTGCTGAAAGTGTCCGCTGGAACCCTGAGCGGAGCAGACCCCCATGCAGAAATGGGAGTGGGTACGAGGTTGACATGTGCTGCGTTAGCTGGAGCCCTATCACAGACAGGTGTGGTCTTATTTGGATCTGCAGGATGTGAGTTTGCCGTGTCTCGAATGACTGACCGCTCGAAGAAAACCTATTCCTGTTCTTCTCACCCATTTCCTTTTTACTTCATATTTTCATTTTGTTGATGTATTGTTGTGTGAACGGCGAAACTGCGACTAATTTTAATTGCAATTCGCTTTGCAAAAGTTTGATACATGTTTTAGTTGTAGGGCTCTATCCTGGCGCCTCATGAAGCTTACCTAGCAAGGTGACATGGCAGTCTGTCAAGTGCTGAGTAGTCGAATACAATTAACCAAATTATTTGCTATATCTATTACAACAATACTCATGATCCGCACAACTTTGTTCATGTGACAGTAACGTATCCTTTGGATGTTATCAAGAGGCGAATGCAAGTGATGGAGATGAGCAGCAGTAGGTATCACTATACAGGAGTACTAGATGCTTTCAAGACCATCAAAAGATCAGGTGGGTAAATTCTATATGTAATTTATAGCTATTTGGCAGATATATAGTTTACACGCATATGGTACGACATGCCTTGTCAAATTTTCATAAATATGTAAGTGTACGTGTTCGAAGGCATGTGTGTAATATTCGTCATCTATTCTATTGTGAGTTTTCTTTCATATTTTTATACACATTTATATACGTTCTATACACATTACTTCACACGAAACTCCGCATACATTGATCCGTATATAACAAATATGTCACCACCGGTACGTTGATGGAGAAACACATCTATCAACGTGTAAGAGTACAATATAATGTATTTATATACATGAATCTATAGTATATATACATATATAAACACCAAAACGTATTCATATATAAAGGTTTTTGCATGTATAGGTTAACGTGCTTCATATAGAGCTATAAAAATCAGTGATACACAATGTATTGATCATACACATTTATATTCACTAAGCCCTTAAGATCATATGCATGTTGTTTAGAAACGTATCGTCATGCATGCATGTATAATCATGCACATATATTACGAGGTTTTTATGTATGAGTGTACGAATCAATTGTATGCATATATTTTGATGTGCTTTCACGCATATTCTTCTCTTAACATGTATTTAAGTTTACAATACAGTATGAAGTCCTACTGTTTCGCTTTGTGTGTGTTGTTTTGCGGTAATTTAAGCTTGATGTATTATATTTGTATCGTTAGGAATAAGATTGCTACCCGTTCATCGGATTCAGCTTTATATCACTCATTACGTAACAGAGCTATCTACATATCAGTGATACGAAGTATTTGACGAGTATTAGGTTAGAAAGTTTGATGTGTTGTGCATCAATTATCACATGTTCGGACTGGAGTGAAATCGTTGACTATCATGATCTACGCGATCAAGCTGTGCCTACTGAGTTTTGCATAATTTCACATTCGTTTATTCTGTCTATATTTTATTTACAGAATCATGGCGAGGCTTATATCGGGGACTACTCGCGAATTACATCAAGGTGGTGCCATCAATCACAGCCAGCTACTTCACGTACGAATACTGCAAGAGACTGTTATTAGTCTAGAAATCCATTTTCGGTGCCCAGTTACGGGTGTACGAATCTCAAATTAGTAAAATTGAATGTCAAGGCTTGACTGAGGAGTCATCGAAAGATACTACTGTGATTTGAATTGGTCAGAGTAGGTGGTCCCTATTATGGCTGCATTTGCACAGCGTCTGGTCTCATCCTGAGCGTATTTTCTACGGTTGACGTCTATGAGTGTGTGCAGTAACGGTGCTTGTTATTGCTTACTAGTGAAAGAATACTTCAAGAACTATGTTCCTTCGCATTAGACTTCAATCATACTAGTCCTATATTTTTCGGTAATATTTTAGGCAAAGACTTGCTATTTGACGAACATGTCTAGATACGCTAGTTGTTGCTAGTGCCCTTATATGATGTATGATTGTCAAATTTTATGGCGTGAATGAAAGCCATTCAGCTTTAATCGAGGAACATGAATGTCGCCAAGCGGGAATGTTGGAGTACATGATACAAATCATTTATCACTGAAAGCGTAGCTGTTGAGCCCCTATTTCTTTTATTGCTGATCAAAAATTTGTCCAACAAAGTTTTTTCTCTATATGTAGGCTTCCCCCGGAGTCTCATACTTTTTCCCAATAGTTAAAAACTATTGCCCCGCAATAACACACTTTCTGTCCCCGCGGCAACCCAGCCATGATCTATTAATATTCCGATGCCGGCGATGGACTTTCAATTCCAGCCCATTGCCATATACACTCTAATTCAAAGCTAAGTTGCTGTATGAATTGCCCCATTTGGCATGTACGAGCAAGAAAACGCTATGAAAGATATATTGCCTTGGCAATGCGATTTTATCGCTTATCTCTGCCTAAACGTCAATTGGCGAGCACTGGCTATGTGCTGGGGCAGTTGCTGAAATTATCCTCTAAATTTAAAGTAGAAGTATTTGGAGAGGGCTACTTACCGGAGTGATACGATGTACGTCGCGCGACAAAGCATATTGGGGGATCTCTCGAGTGCATATGTGTATTCGTGGATTTTATGATGAATGTGTATTGTTTTGTCTAAGCTGAAAAGAATGTTTGTCTTAGTCACATATCTACTCCCGAGAGTACATAGTATATGCCTTTAACCAGCTCATAAAATGCTATTGTGAAAGAGCATGCTAACTTTGCAGCAGCGCTGAAGCCCTCACGTTCTGGTATAAATTCGCACATGCTCAGGTGCCACGTTGGAAATGCTCGGGATAAAATATTAAAAGATTACAAAACAGCAGACATGGAAAAGTGTGCACAGCAGGTGCAGCACTGCTTACCTGATATTTGACTAGCAACAACTTTTCCCCACTCTCGACCAGAGTGTAGCAGATTCGGTAACGATACTTTTCATATCCTTAACTGGGTTATAGTATGTTGCTTAAAGCCTTATTTTCGTCACTTCCTGTGAAAGACTGTGTAAATAAACGACACATCCAACGCGAGTCAGTCACTGTGACGTTGCAGTACAGCTCCGGCAAAAAAGAGAATAAATTTGAAAACTATGTGAGCCAGAGTAACGCATTCGAAGGCCAACTTGGTACTGAAGTAGGAATATGACATGATAGGACACTCTTCACACCAAGGAAAACTAAATATACACTCGTAGTACAGTAAAAAGAATGGCGATATTGTTTCCAACTAACAAGAACAGCATGTCGCCTAAAGAAAAATATCTAATCTCAAAATGCCCTTGCGGATATACAGTTTATTCTTGGACTTCGCAAAATTATATGTGAAAAAGATTCGAATACAAGTAACAAATTTGTTGATTAATAGAGGACCAAGTCCAGATTACTCACTTGAGCGTGATTCCAATGGGCTGCTAAAAATGGATACAAAGGGTGAACGTTCACCCTGGAATGGCGGGTATGCAGAGAGGAAATTGAGACCAAAGGTAAACAATCAAATATAAGGCCACAAATGTGAAACTATTCAACTCGATAATATAATTTTAGAAGAATTCACATAGCAGAGCCGAAAATCATGGAACGCTTGCGCTTCTGAAAAGAATGTGTCTTGAGGTCACGGGTGGTTTCAAAAATTTACACGAAGCAATAAAAGCTTAAATGGGAGCAAAGTTGCAACTCCCTCTGTCCCAGACATCCCGTATTGACATGTACTTGCAGGCGCGAGGCGCCTACCTAGCTGACTAACAATAACTATCAGACGTTACACACGATCGTACATCATCCAACGCATGGGATAGGCTTTGCCAAACGCGACTTCAACTCCTGGAAAACTGAAAACAAAGAATCTGATATGCTCAGATCTCGGCATGAGATAGCACTGCAGGGAGGGAACAAACCGAACACACTTCAAACGGGCGCGACTATTGGCAAGATGTATACCTAAAGAATATATACCGGGATACGTTCCAGCTTCGATCTAGCAGAGAATCTGAAATTTGCCTAAAATTTATATATTTAAGGAGAGTTTGTGCGGATGGACATTACAAATAAGAAGCTAATCAGGCACACGACCACCCTGTCACAGGTGCAGTGTACCCTGAATGATCGAATTTAAAAGAAACACATCACATCGACATTTGATAGAAGCAAGCCGCCACCCACGCTATCCTTACAATAGCTCTCCAATTCGAATCAATTATATATGGATGCAAGAGTTCATCTCAAAGATCGGAGAGGTGGTCTTAGATGACATTCCACATATACACGGCGCGCACATACAGACTGCACTACATACAGAACAATTGTCACCCAGTGTGTGTACATCTATAGATCAAGCCATAAATGCGAACTACCTCAAAGCCACAAATACTGTGTTTTCCTACTTTTCGGTTGCAAACTGGTAGTAAGAGTACTACGGTACATAGGGTAAATAGGCGTATTAGAAAATAAGATGATCAAAAGCTCACCCCAAGGGTCGGACTTATGGTCCTAGATCATATGCCGCATATACACGGCGCACACATACACAGAACACACTACTCAGTGTGTGTGCATCTATAGATCAAACCATAGACGCAAACTGTTTCAAAGCCACAACTACTTTATATACCTACAAATTTTCTCGATTGCAAACTGGCAGTAAGAGAAATACGGTGCATAGGGTAAATAGGCAACTTGGAAAATAAGAAGTACAAGAGTTCATCCCAATGGTCGGAGAGATGGTCCTAGATGGCATGCTGCATATACACAAAGCACATATACACAGACTATACGTTATGTATAATAGAATAGTAAGCTATGAATATTCACAATTGTCACCCAGTGTGTGTGCATCTATTGATCAAACCATAGACGCGAACTCTCTCATAGCCAAAAACATATAAATATATATATATATATATATACATATAATATTCAAAATCACACACGCTCTCAGCAAGAGGGATGAGCTTGTCACGACAGTCAATCGCATTTCAAACTGTTTAATAACCAAGTATTTACCGGTCATTCCCCTGGCTCTGCCTTGATCGGTACATGGCGACTGTGCAACAGGCACAATGCGCGGTGCGACGTATTAACTCAAACCTCCTATTCATTGCAAGAACCTTGCAGAGCACACGCCCGTGTGCAAACCTGTGCGCACAGGCCATGCTCTCTGCGACGTCCTGACTCAAACCCCATATTCAATGCAAGAACTTTGCAGAGCACATGCCCGTGTGCAAACCTGTACGCACAGGCGATGCTCTCATACAGTCACGCCCATGTGCATTATACAAGTTAACCAAATGTGCTGGCACTCTCATATTTACTCTCCGATCGGTCGTCCATCACGTATACTTTACACGAACTCCAAACACACCCTCCCCGATATGTACACACAGACAACAGCTACTCTGACGTCATTTCATTTCAATAGTATCGTGCTGACGCTCGATTACCTCCGGATGATTGATTGTACGAGCCCTGATACATCACAGCCAATACACACACAATCCAAGCGCAGCAAGGGGGAAAGAACAGAGTAAAGATTGTTATAATTTGATGGAGCACACTCAACTTCACAAATCTGATAATATGGTACTGCGCGAATTAAGAATTGCGTGTTCTTTGCAGAAAATGAAATTCGAGATATGAATATACAATGTGGAAACGTGCCGCAAATTTAAGTAAGGGGTTAATCTCGACTTCCAGCTATTTCTTTGCATATGTGTAATCCTGGAAGTATGTATGAAAGTAAACTTAACCAGTCCTTTCAGCAGCCCTTGCATTCAATTGCCTGAACATGCATGTGATAAACCATTAAAATTAAAATGTACAAACACAAGTCAATGTAGCCAGGCACGGCTAAAAGCATTCCAACGACCTTCCCGCGTCAAAAGCACAACTGTCAAAATGCACACAGGGTAAATGAGGTGACACTCGCTCAGAAACCAACAAGGAACATAAGCATATAGTAAATCAGATCCTAGTATATCACAAACCAATCACTCTGCTGCAAACTTACTCGCACGTAATTTAATAATGTAAAGTAATGCCCTGCTTCAAAGAGCATTAGTGTTCGTATGACGCAACCCAAACACCTCACCTCACACTAAATCGAAAGCAACCAATTTTCAAGTCCACTGATAATTTAGGTCTCGCCATCAGTAAGATTGCTATTACGTTTCACATATTTACTACCTGCTATTGTGCGAATGACAACTTGAAACACCGCACCATCTGCTCAAGCTCACTCAACACGCGACCAATTCTAAACTGTATTTGAAGCTAATATCAACAACCTCACATCACGCCTCATAACGTACCTGGTGTTGCTGACGTGAATCTCCACGGTACTGACCCTGACTTTCGCGTCCCGGAGGCGGCCCAGAGAGTGGGCCCGAGGCACGGCCGGTAAAGCTGGAGCTGGGCTGTGTGTTAATACCATCATAGTTGCTACTGTAATCCGTGGGGGCGCTGAGAGGCCCAGAAATGTAATTGCCATAATGAGAACCCGCATCACTACCTGCAGCTTTGTTCACGCTAGCATCACTTGGGCCTCCCCAACCTTGTGCCGGGGGTTTTGCCTGGTTGTTGTACTGCTGTGGTGGCGCTCGTTGCTGCCGTGACCAATCATTTCCGCCCGAGGGTAAAGGTTGTACGTAGGGTGTATCATCGCTGGGAAGTCTGCCCCCTTGTGCAACAGTCTGGCTCTGCGTCGATTGAGCCTGCGCACCCCACTGAGTACTATTATTAGACTGAGTCGGAGGTCCCCAATGTGGCGCTGCTGGACCCGACTGCGAGTTCTGTTGGGATTGTGAGAATTGCTGATCATTTGTATGACTCGTAGGGTCTGTTTGTGGTGGTGCCCACTGCGACGCACCAGTAGCACCCCATTGCGCCTGTTGAGGTGTTCCCTGGATTTGCCCGTGAGGCTGTGCTTGTTGCCAGTCCTGTTGCGTTTGTCCGGCCTGTCCTTGGGCGGATGTTTGAGCATGTTGGCTCTGCTGCCATTGCTGCTGAAGTGAACCTGTTGGAGCTGTCTGTTGTGATGTGGCTGTGTCTACTTGACCTTGGGTGTATGTACTGTTATCGACACCAATCTGGGTAGTGTACTGCTGTTGTTGTTGTGGCTGTGGTTGTCCCATGGACTGACTCCATTGGTTTTGTTGTGGCTGATTTGTGTTAGAAGTGGCACTCAAAGCTGGGGAACTAGCCATCGGTGTTTGCTGTGTTTGCGCAGGAGCACCCCATTGTGCTTGTCCCGGTTGTTGATACTGCCCGTATCCCTGCCCTCGATTCTCGTATTGATTCTGAAACTGGCTCTGATTCTGATTCTGGTATTGATTCTGATTCTGATTCTGATATTGATTCTGATAATGCGTTGGTTGCTGCTGCTGTTGCTGTTGCTTTTGACGCTGTTCCCGCTGCACTAATTTATGCGCCGCCAATTGCGCCTGAGCATGCGCCTGTGCTTGCGCCGCCCACTCCTGCGGTGTCTGCGGGCCCGTAGCTGCGGCCATCGCCTCCTCAGCCACAGTGGCAGAGGAAGAGGTGGACGCCCTTGCTGCGCCTGACTTATGCGCGGGTGTATTGGGTGTTGCGACTGGCTGCTGTGGGCTTATCTGCGCTGGAGGAAGGGTGTTGCCCGCTCCCCTGTTCCACTGTACCTGCATACGAGACGGGTGCATGAACGGCACAACGGGCGCAGCCGGCACGGAAGCTGTTGGTGTTGGGATATTTGGCATGCGTGATGGATGTATACCCGCCAACCGCGAGGGATGCATACCCGGGATATTGCTGCCGGCCGTCATTGGCGTACTCATTGCCGCGGCAGGTACTACTGTATCTTTGCCGTTGGCTTGTTGACTGGCTTCTAGAGCAGCTAATTCGGCTTCAGCCTGTAATTCAAGGTCCTCCATAGTACTGCCATCAAGCACTCCACTAGACTGGCCTGGGGTTGTGACGGCGGCGGTGAGTGTGGGTGTTTGACCGGGCACTGGGACTGGTCCTGCGCCTGCGCCGGTTACAGCTCTGTGTGGCATTCGACGAGCACGTAGATAGCAGATATTTAGTGTTCCACCTTTCGGAAACTTTGTAATTCAGAGGTATACCAAAGCAGAATATACATACATTTAAAGAACTTTCCTAACAGCTGGAACAATCAAAATGGCTATTGAAAAACATTCTTTTTATCATTCTGCGGTAAAACTCATCGACAGCCAACCATCAAACTCGACACAAGTGCTCACCAACCCGAAACTAATGTAACAGTTAAAATACGCGCAACGAGAACTCAAAGGACTGAACCTAAAGACAAATATCGTGAGGACACATATGTAGAAGAATATTGCACTTGGTAAAATAGTTGGTTTGCGCGTCATTTATTGTATAGTCATGCAACATTCCAAATGCTTATTATAATCACATTACTACATCTGCTGGGACTGAGCCTGCAGCTCGAGTTGATCCATGTTGTTGTTCCCGTACGTTGCAGCTCTGTAGAAAGTATAACCCGGTACACATTCAAACACCCAAAGCCAGATAAAGAAAAAAAATCAATACCAGAAAACCTATCAGCCCGTTATATGGCGCGTTGCGAACACCATCATCACATGTGCAAGCTTTACTTCTGATACAGGCGAGTCAGAGGGAAAATTCAGACCTGTTTTTTTTGTTTGCAATCTGAATCCAATATGTACCCGGCTACATCGATGTTTAATTAATATTCTATACATAATCTAATACTGTTCCTCCGGCCATACGGTACTTCTGTGCCGTGCGCAATCCGTTCAATCTGGCACACTCACATCCCCTCCCGACACCCATCAATTTGCGATGAAATCCAGCGAGAGCTACTCGCACCTCACGTCGCGCTCACACATCCACACACTCAACACAACACTCTTACCCTGTTGGCTGGTTGACTCCTGCGGATCCCTGCCCTTGGGCGCCAGGCGGCCCTTGACCCATTTGCTGCTGTGTGTTGCCGTACATGCCGTACTGTTGTTGCCCGTAACCTTGTGGCATTTGCCCGTAGTACTGCTGATACGCTTGTTGCTGTGCATACATCTGCTGCTGATACTGTGCCGGATCGTACGCACCCATCTGTCCGTATGCTTGTTGTTGGCCGTAACCTTGTGCGGCTGCAGGACCAGCGCCCATGCCGTAGCCCCCCTGCGACCCCCTGTTGTTATAGTGGTTCTGTGGCTGCTTGGCACCCTGGAAGGCAAGGTTGCAGTTGGCTTTGCGACCGTCAATGATGGGATTCGACTCGTCACAGGCTGACTGGGCACCATCGGTGGTAACGAAGGTCACCTACGTATGTAATGTATTGTATGAAAAATTGTGAGACAGTAGTATTTAACATATACACACGAGCGCATACGAACAATGACGAATCTACAAGTTATCACTTACTTCTAACAATAATACCGCAAACTACCCCGACAAACAATCATTGCGTTCCGCGATTGAGAAAAGCGAATATATAAAATGGGCAACTTCATACATTTGTGCGCAGTCTTGCGGTCTTTATACTCATGTATCGTGCGCACCATAGAAGAGACATAGCCGTACATAGAACGCGTACAAATACGATACCGTGACATAAAGTAGGGCAAGTATATCCGAGATGCTCACTTGAAATCTGAGTCTTAATTAACACCAAAATTGCAAAGAAGGATACGCAAACAAAGAGAAACATACAAATGCATGCGTTAGAAGCCGTGGCAGCCAACTACACACTTGCACAGTATCGAATGTGCATATATGGTCGCTCACAAGGGCAACATCTAAATAAATCGACGCTCAGTGTGCACTACGCGTAGCAATACATTTCCTCTTGCCAATATCTCGTACCTAAACAGAAACTGACACCCTACAAACCGAATTGCCACTAATAAAGAAATATCTTTGATAACATAAAGACCTGAGACAGACAACACAACTTACGAATCCAAAGCCCTTGGACTTTCCGGTGGCGCGGTCGTGGATGACCACCGCCTCCTCAATTTCCCCGTGCTTGGTGAAGAACTCCTTGAGGGTCTCCTTGCTTGTGTGGTACGGCAATCCCCCCACGAACACCTTCCTGTAAGTGCTATCCGTGTTCTGTGGTGCTGCCTGTGGCGACATACCCATACCCATGCCCGCCTGAGGCTGTGCGTACATACCCTGTTGCTGCTGAGGCATACCTGGGGAAGGTGCCATACCCTGCGGTGCGGTGCCTTGGACAGGCATACCCTGAGGTGCCATACCCTGCTGACTATATCCCTGTTGACCATATGCCTGCTGAGAATAACCCTGTTGTGCACCGCCCTGTTGAGGATATCCCTGTTGTTGTGGGTTACCCTGTGCGGGCATGCCGTACTGCCCAGACTGCTGCTGTTGCTGTGGCGGTTGGGGCTGTTGAGGCTGTTGGTTCATACCATACTGCTGCTGCTGCTGAGAGTCTGATTGACCGCCGTACGGCTGCTGGCCCTGCTGTGCATATTGGTTGTACATAGTGTAACGTGTATGTAGGACTGGGTATACTACAAAATCCACACAATCACTTGCGTGTGTGTAACTGTAAATCCAAGATAGCGTGTACGTGGCTGTATTTATGTTTATATTTTAATTTGCAGAGCGCCAAATTTCTATCGTGTCACATTTTTTCCTATTTTTTTTTTGAATATAATTTTTCAAGTCGCGTGGCACTGTCGCACTTTGGCAGTCTGAGACTCTGAAGTGACTCACAAATATGTGCATTTTTAAAAAATAAAATATAAAAAATTTAGTACATATTGGCATTGGTGTAATTTTCTGAAGGCTATGACATAGCCCTCTAAATTATACTATATTGATATATATTTATTTACAGTATCTCGCTCTGTCTACGACTGATTGGACTCATCAGCCTCTCACACAAGAGAGAGAGAGAAGTCTGATCAAACCTCGGCACTGAGGCAATCTTGAGTCAGCAGTCAGCACTCAGCACTCAGCAACTCAGCACTCAGCACTTCAGCCATCAGAAGTTTTTATTTTTTTCTTGAATACCTCACAGAAGTCAGCAGAGAAAGCCAGTCTCAGTACTCACAGCGTCACAGTATCAAAGTCAGTACTGGACAACTAAATGGAATAAGCTTTTGTAGAGCCGAAAGGCTTTTTTGGGACAGGGTTTTCGGCTTCGCGCCCCTCATCACTTTGATGGAGAAAAAAAATCGGATGTGATACTGCAAGTGCAATAGATCATAGCTATAAACTCAATAGATATATATGATACCGAAATAGATGCAGATCATAGCTATAGATGCAAAATATTTATATAATTAATGAGAATTGCTACACTATAGTATAGTATATCAATATATCCATCATGATATTGGACGTGCGTGTATAAGATGGAGCAAAGTCGACCTCCATTGAACGTTGACAATGCATCGAATGCGAGCTACACCGGAAACTTGTGGGCACAACGTTCCCTGGCAGACCCATATCAAGAAATAGGTATAGCTTGCGTGAGTGTAGTAACAGGACTCGTATGACTTTATAAAC